CCTCAAAGGGAGTATAGCCTTTGGGAACAAGGGCAGCCTATGTCGTTGTTTGGATCACTTCTTCTATTCTGCTTGTGTTCATTTACTGAAGGCTTCCCCCAGAGCAAAATAAGCCCCGAGAGGTTAGGGACCCCACTTGTTGTGTTCACTACTGTGCATCCAGCACCTAGCCCAAGGCCTGACCCAACCCAAAATCCAGTTGGCAGTGAGTCAGTTCCAACTCATGCCAACCTCGTGTGTGTGTGTGTGTGTGTGTGTGTGTGTGTGTGTGTGTGTTCAAGGCTGGGATCTTTGAAGAGAAGCTCTCCAGGCCAGTCTTCCCAGGTGCCTCTGGGTGGTCCTAACTGCCAGCCTGCCTGTTGGCTAGTGGTTGAGTTCTTAGCCATTAGAACCACCTGGCCACATGCCATATGGTAAAGACTCCATCGGTGCTTGGAAGGTAGGTTTCGCTCAGCTACCATGTGCCCAGTCCTCAGTGGGAGAAGAAACGCTTATCACTTACACCTACAGGTTAGCACACGAGAATTTGAGGGTCATGAGGTCTTTGACTGAGATCCAAGTCACTATTCAGCTGGCATTTTCATGGAGACCGGTGGTCATTAGAATTCTTTGTGACACAATGGTGGAACATAGGCTTGTGGTACAGTAAAAATGTTAAGACAAGGAAAACACGCGCCTTTCTAGCAAGTTGCACTTTTGCCTCGGAGGGTCTCTCTCTAATTCTCAGCATCTCTCTCTCTATGGGCTTTGGGAACTTCTTCCCAGACACAATGCAGGACAGGAGTATTGAGGCTCACCACCGACGCTGCCCTCACTGGGTCATCTTACGCAAGCCTTCTCTTCCCGGGACCCCGTTTCCTCGGTAGCCAAGTCGATTTGGAGGATCTCTTCCTGCTCAGAAACTCTGAGCTGTTGACCGAGGCTTGGCCTCAGACCTGCTGGACAGAGGCTTAGTGGTGAAGGGTAAGAACTCCGGGCCTCATTTAACTTGGGCTGAAGTCCCAGTTCCTCCAGCTGTTCTAGCCCTTACACTTCCTTATCCCCTCTACACTTCATCTGGGAAATACTTGTGTCAGAAAGGACTGAGGGGCTTAAGTAATGCAATGCACCAAGTGTACTTAGCATGGAGTGTAGCTCAGAGTAATATTCATTATTTTGCTCTCAGAAATGTTTATATTCAGACTCCTTTTTCAGGGAAAGCCTCAATAGTAGATCTGCGGTGGGATTTCTTCAAGTTTCACAGTACAAAGCTCAAAATACGGACCTTTATTTGATCAGAAGGCATCCTTTTGTGTGATACTAGGACCTACATTGTCAAATGCACTCCGTTTACTTAGCGGTGGTTTTATGGTGTTGCCCATCCGCATTGTTGACAGATGCCAGTCTCCCTATCAGAGTGGATGCTTCTTCAAACGGCACTCTCCATCCGCCTACATATCCCACTGTGGTTTGAGATGCCTTTCCCAGGAGCCACGGTGTCTGGTCCAGAACAGGCTTACTCTAATCCTTTATTGGTTTCTAATAAATTCGTCAGAAACAGAGAGCGTTGCCTAAAGACTACTAAGGGAATCAGAATGAAAGATTCCGTGCAGGAAACTTCAATTAGACTACGCTTCATGAGATAAACTTCAATATCTGGAATAACTTCCCATTAGACACAGTGCCGCCAGAGGATGCTAAGGCCTTTCCCCTCGCAGCTGGGAGAGGTAGGTTTGGAACAAGTGGTGTGTGGGCTCTACAAGTGCCAAGGCTGTGGGCAGGGTCGCTTGGGCCTGTGCTTCTCTGACTTCCCGTCACTATACAGTGTGAAGTTTGCACCCTGAAGTTATCTGACTGTTTCCCTTCTTTCCACCTTTTTCTTGGTTGCTTTCTTTCTGCTGATTGGATCCTCCTTAGGAACGCTCTGGGGTAAATATCTTCTTCACTTCTGTTGAAGGTAAAAATGTGGAAGGGTGGATGGGAGGAGGGCAGAACCATGGTGGGGGGGGGGGAGCTGGCTCATTGAGAAAGGAGTGGTGAGTTGACAAGAGTGGTGAGTTTTCATTGATATTCAGAGATCAAAAATTAAGAGTCACCGAGCCCCTTGAGGAAGTGATCATTTTATTGGTTTGGAGATCCATTTGGGTCACTTGCTGCCTCTTCCCAATCAGGTAGCCAGAAGAGCCTAATAAAGTGAGAGATTCTATAGTGGACCCCAGTGCATTTGGATGCAACAAGGCCATCTAAAGGCAGTGTTTTTTATGAGCAATATTCAGATCCAGAGTTGAATACAAGTGACTTGTAGGTCGTGGCCTATAGCCATTCAGAGAATCTTAACGTTAACATTTTGGGCAAAGTCAACATTCCTTGGATCACGTTAAATGTCTTCCTACCTTAAAATTCTGTGAAGTACAGAACACCTTTCAGCTTGAAGGACAGCGGTGGGGAAAGGGGCAGAGTGAAACACAGAGAAGACATGGGAGTGCTCACTCGGTGTTCTGGGCCCACTGTTTGGGTGATTGATGGAAAGGGCCACTGGGCCAGCAGCAAGAAAGATCCCACCCCGGAGCTCCCAGCTTAGTCTAATTTCCGCCATCAGTGTTGTCCACAAATCTCAGTTGTTAGGAAGGAACGCACAGATCTCCAGGGATGAGGAAGTTGGAAAGAAACATACAAGTTGATTTATTCATCATTCCTAAAAATAAAAAGAGAAAAGCACTTTCTCCCCTAAAAGTAAACCTTTCCGAGAGGCTGAAAAAGCCTCTTTGGTGCAGGCCAGGGCCCGCAGCTGGGCCTCGCGCCCCACCCCCACCCCCACCCCTACCGTGGCTCTCTGCAGCCTGTGCTCAGGGCACAGCGAGCCTGCCGGGGGGGGGACTCTGCAGTAAGGCCCAGCCACAGGGAGCCCCTTGGTGCTCGAGCCCCGGGGCTGGTGAGAAGCTGGCGGGACAGGCTTTGTCTGGCGGGTGCAACCTGTGTTCTCCCCTGCGCTGATGCATGAACTGCACAGAGCCAGCAAACCAGAAATGCATGTTGCCACCATTAGACAGCTGTGAGGAAGAGAAAGTACTTACTCATGGATGTGCCTGGGTGTGTGGGCCTCATCTGTGTGCCAGCTCCTCTGTGTGTCCGTGCCCATGAGCGAGCAGGGGTGGGTGTGGTGCAGGCAGGCCAGGGGGTGAGCTGGGACATTTTCCTGTGGTGTCTCCCTGAAGAGGGCGTCCCCTCGGACTCCATTGATGGCCTCTAGCTTCACGTATCCCTTTCCACCCTGCTGACGCTGTTGCAGCGTGGGGGCGCTAATGTTTATCACCCCACACACACCCTGCCATTCTGATGATTTCTGGGGGCCTCTCCCCTGCAGAACCAACAAGGGGCGGGACATCAAGACCATCAAGTCTCTGCGGGTGCTCCGAGTTCTGAGGCCGTTGAAAACCATCAAGCGTCTGCCCAAGCTCAAGGTAATGCGTTCAGAGTGTCTTCCCATTGAATCCCTTCTCCCGTCCATCTAGCTTTTCAGGGACCCTGATGGTACAGTGGATTAAGGGTTGAGCTGTGAACCATAAGATATGCCGTTCCAACTCCCCGGCCACTCCATGGGACCAAGATCAGGCTATCCACTACAGTAAAGTTTTACAACCTTGGAAACCCTACAGAGCTGTTCTTTGTCTGTAGGGGCACTATGGGTCAGATTCTACTCGATGGTAGAGGGTTTAGGGCCTGCTTCTGGGGAAATAGGACTTGAGCTAAGGGGCCTAGTTGCAAAGGAAAATAACCAGCCACCCAAGAAATCTACAAACAGGCCAGCCTTTGCCTCTTGAACCCACACCCAGCTAGTGTTCTGTGCTCGGGCTATGACATGCCTTTCAGAAGGAAACCTGGTAGCTTTGGCCTGGATCCTCCTGTGACCTTAAGGTGGGCCAAGATCACAAAGCTGGCAGCAGAGACCTTCTGAATGTGTATGGCCTGCACGCTAGGTCAGCCAGGTAACCTGGGATCTTTTCTGTTCTTATCGTTAGAGGTAGAAAGGATCTTCTAGCCCTGGCCCTTAATATTTAGGGGTGGGGCACGTAGGTCAGTTGCTTGCTCAAGAGCATAGCCCATTTGGGTCAGAAGCAGAGGAGAGATTGGGAAGGGAGATAACATGAAGTAAGTTTCTCCTCTTGTCAGAACAGGAGATTGATAGGCCTCTTACCAGATTTGGCTCGCTCCCTTTGCAGTGCTCAGCCTACTCAACCCCAGTGGGCTTCCCCGACATGAGCTTTCTAGCCTTCAGAGACCTGGAGGCATGTTTGCCAGCAGATTGAAATCTCACACTACCCCACACCCCCACACCCCAACCAAGTATTGCTGTTAATGAAAGTTGGGGCATCGAGGGGAAAAGGTTCTTCCACCTTGAAGCCCTGTGAATAGAAGCAGCCAGCCACTGCCAGGGAGAAGGTCAAGGCACCAGCTCACAGTCCTGCTGCTGCTGCTGCCGCCGGGGCCCCACCAGGACCCAAGCAAACCTCGGTACCAGGCTCAGGACCCATCTTTTCCTGGCACGCCAGGCTTCTCCACAGGTGGCAGCAGACGGAATGACTGGCCTGCAGCCTCACAGAGTGGTGCAGGGCTACTCACAGACACCTGCATTAAGAGGACACGGGATGCTTCTTAAATCGTAGCTTCTTTAACCCACAGCACAACATAAAACCCAGACTCTGGGGAAGGGTCTTGGAATGTGCCTTACCAAGATTCCCCAAGTGACTCGGATAAATGGTTTGTGCACCTCATTCATATGAAAAGAACCCACTTGCATACCAGGCCCAGCTCTGGGACTTAGGAGTTCTTCAGTCACAGAGCCAATTCCTTATTCTGTAACTTGGTTCAAGTTGTAAAGCAGGTGCTCTGTAATGAACAGGTTTGTGGTATGGACAGCACGAACTGATGAGAGTGTTCCCTCTCAGAAAGCTCTACAGTGTTTCTGTATGCCTGGCCCGTATCTCCCAAGCCTACCACAGAACACAGGTGGCTTCAGAACGTTTGCATTTGAAAATTGAAATGAAAGGAGAATGGGATTTTCCCACAAACCCTTTGAAGCTCCCTTGCATAAGACTGAGAGCAGAAAGGGGACACGTCTCAACCCAGACTCTCCTCCTACTTTCCAATTCCCACTGCTCAGTGGGTTCTCATTTCCTCTGGTATTCCCCAGCATACTGGCCTCTTTCCCTTTGGCCCTAGGGCTCTCAGAGAGGAGCCCACACCAACAAGGCTGATAAGAAGCTGGGTCGTTTAGGAATCCCCCTTCCCCGGCCTGGCCTGCCACATGTCTTCCACTCAGGAGCCCACAACCCTGGCCCACTAGCTGGACTCCTGAGGAGAACCATGCAGGTCCCGGCTCACTGCCCTTGTCCCAAGGCTGCTCTGCCTGCCTGTCCTTCCTGGAGTAGGCTCCTGGCCACAGCACTGGGCAGCCTTCCCCAACGCTGTCCATTCCGACTCTCCCCCCTCCTCCCACCCGATACTCATGCTTTTCTTCCTCACTGCCCAGCAGATGGTGGGTAAGACTCCTGGGCGCCTAGGCATTGTCCTTCCCTGCAGCCCTTGCCCCCGAGATAGGAGCTCATCTGAGAAGAGCTGCGTGCAGACACCTTGATGAGATTAGAAGCAGAGTGGAGGAGAAGGCCCCAGCCTAGGTTAATGCCGTTAAATTAGAATGCGCTGACTCCTCTCTCGGGCATCTCAGTAACCTGAGAGAGACGTGGGTGGGTCTGATGATTCCACAGGGCTGGGCGTCACTCATACCCCTCACGGCGTGGAGCGAATTAAACCAGCAGTGCTGCGCCTAGCACTGCAAAGAAGCAATTAGACGGGTGCAGCACCACCACAGGGTAGACGCTCCTGTGAGCGACGTGGACAAACCTAGGAAATCATCCAAAGGTGTGCTTGCCACGTGTTGAATGCCCTTGTGACTCTTCTCAGCGTAGGGTCTAGCATGGGAGTCTCTGAAGAGCCAGCGCTGCCCACTGGTGTCCGGGTTCTTGACTCTTTCCACCTCGTCTCCCTCCTCCAAGAGAGGGGCCATCAGTCCCTGCCCACCCTCCCTCGCCCCACGTCACAGCCAGTTTGAATCTAGAGACACTTTGCCTGAAGGGCTTAGCCACTGAAACGCACGCATGGACTTCTTATAAAGTAGCATTCGTGTGAATGAAGACAATGGCTCATTATCTTGCTCCCTGATCCATTTATAAAGCAAAAGAGGGGAAATGGGTATTTTCACGAAAATCAGATCTGTGAGTTTCATCCAATAGGGTCAGGGACACGCTCTGTGTCTTCTCGAAACCCCCTTCCTCTTCCTCACTTGTAAAATGGAGGGAAGGAGCTACATGGTCTCTGAGCACCCCAGGTTCTCCACACGCCTGTGTTTCCCACCAAGTGCAGTCACCTCTCCCCACTCAGAGCCCCACAGGGGAGCACCTCGGGTGCCTGATGCAGGCTGGGTTTGGCTGCTTTGGTCTGGCTTTCCGCTTCAGAGACTGGGTCACGCTACCTGGGGGGGTGGGTTCCTATTGCCACGTGCAGGTGGGAGGCCAGCTCTTCGCCTCTTGGGCTCACGTCTCAGGAGGGGGCTATCTTCTGGGCGGGGTGGGGACAGCCGCTCCAGAGCACGGCTCCAGGCAGATGCGCAGGCCCATCACGGGACGCACACCCAGGCTCTTTGCGTGTGTCTCCAGGCTGTCTTTGACTGTGTGGTGACCTCCTTGAAGAACGTCTTCAACATACTCATCGTCTACAAACTCTTCATGTTCATCTTTGCCGTCATCGCCGTCCAGCTCTTCAAAGGGAAGTTCTTTTATTGCACAGACAGCTCCAAGGACACAGAGAAGGAGTGCATGTAAGCAGTCCTCGCTCTTGCTCACTTCCTGCTTAAGCATGTCCTGGGGGGTGGGGGGGGTGGGGACAACACCACCCTTCGAATGCCTGCTCTTTCTCCTGTCTCCGTCTCTCCTACCTGGCCCCAGGTCTCTTTGGGGTCAAGGAGAAAGTCAGAAGTCTGTAAGCATCAGTTTCAATGATGTGTTTCTCTTGTGTCGGTCAGGCTGAGTACAAATCAGTGAGCACTCCGTCATGTCATTGGAAAGCCTTATGAGATGGGTTTTACTTGCATATTGTCTGAGAAATGGAGGCTCAGAAAATTTGAGAAAGCCACCCACACAACTGACTCATGAAAGGGTTAGAATTTGACCCCAAGTCTGCTGGATTCCGAATCCCATTTTTATGCCACGGCACACTGTCTTGAATGGAGCGTCTTCCTGGCATTCGCATATTGATCCTTCTCCCCCTTTCATTCTGAGCAATCCCTAGAATCCCCTTTCTCTTCCGTGGGCTCTAGCGAAGAGCCTCTACTTGTTTCTCCTCGGGTTTCAGAGGCAACTACGTTGATCATGAGAAAAACAAGATGGAGGTGAAGGGCCGGGAATGGAAGCGCCATGAATTCCACTACGACAACATTATCTGGGCCCTGCTGACTCTCTTCACCGTCTCCACCGGGGAAGGATGGCCGCAGTGAGTGTGGACGTGGGCTTGGCGTGGGTGTCTGGACATGGGGCCGGGAAGAGCCGTGGGGTTGCCTTGAGAAGCCGATTTAAACTGAACCAGCGAAACCTTTGCGCTGGTACCAAGGGAATGGGGTGCTGATGAGTGGGTGAGACAGACAGGAGAGAGGAAGGATGGAAATCCTGGAGGCAGAGTCAAGAGGGAGAAGACAAAGGTGGGACGATACTTGAAAGTCTTCCTGCTCTGAGTACTTTCTGCGGTGTCGATGAAAACCATCTGACTCCTGGGGGAGAAGTGGGTTTCAACAGCTCTCTGCCCCTTGGGAGAACAAGCAGTGTGTCTCTGGGAGCCGCTTGAACAGACTCACCCTCTAGCTGGATCCCTGCACCTGGAAGTCCGAGGTTTAAGGGTCAAGGATCACTTCCTGTGATCCTACCTTGTCTGAGTCAAACAGCAGAATGCAGTTTCCTTTGTGGCCTGTAGCGGAAGACGGCTATCAGAGACTTGGCAACTATAAAGACTGGGGCCAACTCATCTGGTGACAGTGTATTTGAATTGGTGACAAAATGGCAAACAGTAACCCGGGGGACTTTGGATAGTGGGCATGGCAATCTAAATTGTGACAGAATGGCATTCCACTGCTCGAGGGCTGTAGATGTGTTGTTGGAAAGGGGGTCTTCACCAACTTCATTAGGGTCCCCCCCAAATTACTTGACTACACCAAGTCAAAGTATCCAGATCATTTAAAAACAAAACAGTGCAACCTGCCCCCGTTGGAACCTGTATAAGGCTGAAGCCTGTCAGAGAGAGAAAACCCAAATATTGTCCACCAATAGCACAGGAGAGTGTCACAGACGGGAACTCTCTGTGAGACCCTGGGAAACAAGGCCAGCCCACCCACCGAGCCCCACGCAACAAGGCCAGCCACCCACCGAGCCCCACTCAACAAGCCCAGCCACCCACCGAGCCCCACGCAACAAGGTCAGCCCACCCACC